GCGTTGATAGATTGCTTTAAATACTTAGAAGACGTCATCCTCTTGTAGAGTTCTTCGGCAATGTTAACGTGATCTGTAATTGTCTTATTATCTAAGGTAATTTGAGCGGTTTTTCTAAAGTTTCCGACCATATCGTTGAAATTCTGGTCGCCCTTCTTTGTAAGGGCACCAGATAATGCGTTCATTCTTGAAGCAATCTCATGAGATAATTCTGAATGGTTAAGATGGCAAAATGTCTTGAAAAGAGGGTCCACAGAGGACGATAGCAAGAATAAATTCTTAGATTCGGCTGAAAGCTGAACCATGCCGCAGTTAATTCCGAAATATTCGGCAATTAAACCTTCGTAGTTCATTTGTGTAATGCATGGTGTGATTAAATCAGTATTTCTGTCGATAATAATGAGATGCAAGTTGTTTAAATCATTTGCTGATGGCAGAGTTCTGGCAATCGCTGTAGAATATTGGCCAATTGCAGTAATACTTGCATAGGCGCCGAGCTTTTGTATCAAAATATCAAGTGCCTTCCTGCAATTTGAGACAAGTGTGAGATCCCTGAAAATCCATCCTTCGACAAATGAAAGGTGTTGGTTCATTGTTAAGCAGTCTTCGTCAAGTGGAAATAGTTCAATTCCTAAATCGTAAATTTCCAGATTTTTGCGCTCTTTCCTTCCTGCCTTTTCTGCAGAATTATTTTCTTCTGGAAATGTTTTAAGAAGAGAAGCTGGTGCATTGTCTGTATCAACAAGGAATGCAGCAACAACATCTGTAAGGCGTGGTTGGAACCAAAACTGAATATTAGGGTTTTCTTTTGAATTATTAATATCAGCGATAAATTGTTTGACAATTGGTATTTCTGGAGGAAGCATAATTGCATAATTTTCACCAACAAATTGGAAATTTGGTTCATAAAACTTGATACTTTCGAAGCTTTTTGTTAATGTTGGTGTATCAGTAATCCTTGAGATAAAATTCTTGAACAACGGATGGATAATAAGGTTGCGAGGATTGGGACCTGTCATTGACATTTTCCGGATCATCCTCTGATTCTCTTTTTCTATTCGGGAAGCATCCATACCTGATAGTTGTCACTTTTTATTCTTTTCAAGTGGCGCTACACGCCAATAATATTATCATAAATTAAAGAATTGATGATACACCAAAATTGTAATCTATTAAGTTCCTTAATAAACGTATGATATGATGAGTTACAAGCACTCAAACATATGCTTAAGGACATATGAATTCGATATAAATTATGGGAAGGCTTTCAATTTTTAGAAAGCTTTAGACTTCTCTATCTTGCTATCTGAAAAGCTTAAGAAGGAACCATCTATAGCAATATCTACCCACATATTCTGATGCATATAACTTACATATATTCATTGAATGAAACCAATGCTGTATCTTTGAAAAAAGTAATTTTAGAACTCACAAATTTTGGGCATTTGGAACTTTAACGTTGTGATTCCAAACTACATTAATTCGATTTTTAAAGTTTCCACCTATTATAATTTTAATGTTTTTGATTTTTCTGAGAAGTCACTCAACTCTGGGTTCCCCATGTAGATTGATTCAAGGAGTGACAATGAAAAATTTAGATTATACTAGCTGAGCTTATATCATATGTGTGAGATAATGAGTGATTTATAAGTAAGGAATTATATTGATAATAATATTATAATAAATTTAACTAGATTTGAGTGGAAATGAATTTTAAATGGTTTTATATTAGGAAATGGTGTCTATTTATGCCAAGACATATAATAAATAATAATTTTGAAGATATATTAGCCATAAGACTTGAATAGCTTAGTGGAAAACTCAATAATGATTAGAACAAGTATTATTCTCCAATATCGATGATTTCAAACTTGGAATTGAGCGAAATTATTTGATGAAAATTCCATTGGAAGGATTTGAAAAGTTTTGACTATAATGAATGTATAACTTATGTGATGAGAAATTGAAATGAACATGAGTTTAAAGGAATAAATCAAGAAAATTTATTAGAATATATACTGAATTAAATGACATAACTTGCATAAAAATAAAGGATTTAGCTAAAATATTTTAATAACTCTCGATCCCAAAAATTACAAAGTATTCAAAAGTTTCGAGATATTTAAATTTTAATAAAATTTTCGAAATTTTATTTTTTTCGAAAGTGTCAAATAACGTATTTTCTTTCAGAAATATTTTTCAAAAATTTCATGTTCACGTTTATAAGCAATATATACTGAGTAATATTTTTTGGCGATGTCAGAATTTTTTTGAATGGTTTACGATTTTTAACATAGGTTTATTTCTAATATTACTAAATGAATATTTTATTTATTACAATTTTGGTCGCTCAAATTCAAAAACCATAAAATTTTGAGAGTTGGAAGGGGAGGTTTTTTGTGATATGGAAAAATGTTAGTTGCTCAATTATCTCACTATTGGATGGACTTTTATCGAGCGAAATTTTGGCTGTAAAGACAATTCTGATATTGGTAACATGGTGATAAGAACAAATAGTCAGTTTGCGTGGTTTATGATGAGATAATTTCGATTTAAAAAAAAACATAAAAATTGATTTTAATGAGCGATTATATTTGAATATGCTCTCCTAATTTGAAGGAACTGGTTAAATCATGAATTGATCATGAATAATTTTTTCAAAATAACAATTATAATTTCATATTCATTATAAGTTGAAAATATATCATAAAGACTTTATGAATGATAAATTCGTAAAAAACAAGTTAGTTTGTTTCTGAAAATAATAATAATAAAAACCAATTTAGACCCAATAATTTTTGGCGGGATAATTGAGATGTTTAACAAAAACTGAAAGGTGTCATTATTATCTATGACCAACAAGCAACTGACCTAGTCTGGATTACAATATTCGGTTCATCAAACCGCCAATTTGATGAATCAAGCCAAATTGTAACTGACCTAGTCTGGATTACAATATTCGGTTCATCAAACCGCCAATTTGATGAATCAAGCCAAATTGTAACAAACCAGTTGTTGATTGCATGGTATTATTCATCGAACTGCCAATTTGATGAATTACATTTCTTAGTCATCAAAATAGTGGTCATGTTGTAAACGAAAACGATAAAAACGGCTTGACAGTAAAGTGACACTTTACATGGCAAAAAATAGAGCCTTACTTTTGAGATACTTGAGATTGAAACTGAATCTTATGAGGCGGTGATCTTGAATCACTACCTCATAAGGTTCAGTTTCATATAAAATTTGTTGCAATTTGTTATTCTTTTGCAATTATTTCTTATAAGATTTTACATCTTTTAGCGGGGAATGTTTGTTATCATGTATATATTATAAATATCTACACGATAACGAACATTCCTCGCTAAATTGCTGAGAAACTTTGAGGAAATGTCGAACAATTTCCTCAAAGTTTCTCAGATTTATATAGATCACTAGAGTCCCCTAGGCACTGATTCTGGTTCAGTACCTAGGAGGCTCTAGTTCTCTAACGAACTGATAAAATGTTTTTAAATTTTTGGATATTGCTACCTGTGAAGCACTGACTTCAAGTCAGTACCTCACAGGTAGCAATTACATTGAAAGATGGGAGAAAATTTGTCCGAATGTTAAACTATTCGGACAAAGTTTCTCCCATTTGTAGTGGAGATGGAAGGCTTTGAGGTATATTATATTAATATATACCCCAAAGCCTTCCATCTCCACTTGAAAGTTCCAAAACTTTGGGTTAATAGTTTGCAATTAACCCAAAGTTTTGGAACTTTCTAGAAGGAATTGCAGGGTAAGAGGTACATATTCATACTATGTACCTCTTACCCTCCAATTCCTTCTTAAAATGGGAGAAACTTTGTCCGAATGTTAAACTATTCGGACAAAGTTTCTCTCATTTGTAGTGGAGA